AGATTAGAGAGAGAGAGGAGCAAGATTTGAGAGAGAGAGAGGAGCAAGATTTGAGAGAGAGAGAGAGGAGCAAGATTAGAGAGAGAGAGGAGCAAGATTTGAGAGAGAGAGAGGAGCAAGATTTGAGAGAGAGAGAGAGGAGCAAGATTTGAGAGAGAGAGGAGCAAGATTTGAGAGAGAGAGAGGAGCAAGATTTGAGAGAGAGAGGAGCAAGATTTGAGAGAGAGGGGAGCAAGATTAGAGAGAGAGAGGAGCAAGATTTGAGAGAGAGAGAGAGGAGCAAGATTTGAGAGAGAGAGAGGAGCAAGATTTGAGAGAGAGAGAGGAGCAAGATTTGAGAGAGAGGGGAGCAAGATTTGAGAGAGAGGGGAGCAAGATTTGAGAGAGAGGGGAGCAAGATTTGAGAGAGAGGGGAGCAAGATTAGAGAGAGAGAGGAGCAAGATTTGAGAGAGAGAGGAGCAAGATTTGAGAGAGAGAGGAGCAAGATTTGAGAGAGAGAGGAGCAAGATTTGAGAGAGAGAGGAGCAAGATTTGAGAGAGAGAGAGGAGCAAGATTTGAGAGAGAGAGAGGAGGAAGATTTGAGAGAGAGAGAAGGAAGATTTGAGAGAGAGAGGAGGAAGATTTGAGAGAGAGAGGAGCAAGATTTGAGAGGGAGAGGAGCAAGATTTGAGAGAGAAAGACGAGCAAGATTTGAGAGAGAGAGAGGAGGAAGATTTGAGAGAGTGGAGGAAGATTTGAGAGAGAGGAGAGTCAACTTTGAGAGAGAGAGGAGGAAGATTTGAGAGAGAGGAGGAAGATTTGAGAGAGAGAGAGAGAGGAGCAAGATTTGAGAGAGAGGAGAGTCAAATTTGAGAGAGAGCAATTTCAACGAGATTTGAGAACAAACAACAAGACCGGAGCAAGTGAGCAGCACGTGTACATGCACAGGTGCACGTATCTGCTCACATGCAAATTTGACTTTTGAGACTTTCTTACCACTGCAGAGGATCTGCATGTGTAATGATGCGTTCAGGGCCGGTGAAAAGCTGGGACATCTGAGCTTTAGCAGCTATACTGCACTGGGTTGTTGGAAAAGCCATTTGTGCCCTCTTAACCACTATATTAAACACATGCACTTACACTGACATTAGATGATACTAATATAACAACTTTTCACAACTGCTTTTTGAAATAAATTAATTAAAAATGGGTAGTTTCTCATTTTCTACAGAGCATATTTGTCATTGAGGAAAATACATTTCTGAACACTATCATGTTTGTACAATATTATTTTGTACAAATGTGATAGTATAATGTTACCATTAGTATAATGTACCATCCTCCCTGCTTCCAGATTACACTGACTTCCTCTTCCTTGTAAATCTCGTTGCCGATGTAGTCTCAGAGCACACTACCGCCACCATCAGGATGAAAATATCACAATTAAACAATATAAAGACGAGTTTATGCTATACTATATCACGTTTTTCTAATATATTATCATGATTCATCATGTAAACATGATCATACTATCATGTTTCTACTAAATAAACTATATTGTACATCACCAACATTGACAGGATGTAATGATGACTTCATGAGATTCTTTATAGATAAAATAATTTTAATAAGGAATAAAATTCATGCCAAACTTCCTGCTACTGTCTCTGGTTCTCTGTCAGATGAGGCAGTCCTCAACGTTGTAACATCACCAGCCAATCACAGACAGGGTTTTTTCATCCATTCAAAGCACTTATTGCAAATCTACCAAACAAAGAGACGGAAATGACAACATCATAGATGCAGGCCCATTAAATCAGCAAAAGATAATAAGATATATTTTGTATGTTTTGTAGCCTAGAATATTCAGTTAAGCATACAAATATGCTTACTGTCATTGTGTTTTTTAGGCAATGCATCTCTGTAATCCAGGTAGAAAAAAAACCACAAGTTTAACTATACTATCTGTTGCCAAAAGACAATATATTCAAATTTAAACATTAACTTTTGCCAAAAGATATGTTTAAATTTTGTAGCCCAACAATTTTTAGCTAAGCATAAAAATGTGGTCACCGTCATTGTGTATTTTAGAAGATATTTTTAAAATACATTAGGATTAGGATACTTGTTGATTTTGATATTATTTGTAGATATTCAGCTGATATTGGGGCAGCTGTGGTAGAGTGGTTAGGGGAGTCGTCCAGGAACCGGAAAGTCGCCGGTTCGATCCCCGTCTAGTCAACTCAGTTGTTGTGTCCTTGGGCAAGACACTTTACCCACCTTGCCTACCTCTGGTGGTCAGAAGGTCCAGTGGCGCCTGTGTATGGCAGCCTCGCCTCTGTCAGTGTGCCCCAGGGCAGCTGTGGCTACAATTGTAGTTTGCCATCATCAGTGTGTGAATTTGTGTGTGCATGGGTGAATGTCTGTAGTGTGAAGCGATTTGAGTGTCCTGGATGGATAGAAAGGTGCTWTATAAGAACAGTCCATTTACCATATTCAAATAAAGCACTCTTGATACGACAGAATATCAGCAATGAAGAAGGATTAATAAATTTAAATTAATTTTAATAAATAATATCAAAACCAACAGTAATTTATCTTAATGTAATTAAGAAAAATAATATTAATAATTAAAAAAGTTAAACTTAGTGTTTTTTTCTACCTGGATTACAAAGATGAATCAGGACATTACCTAAAATACACAATGAGAGTAAAGATGTTTGTATGCTTAATTAAATATTCTGGGCTACAAAATATATAAAATATATCTTATTATTATCTTTTGCTGATTTAATGGGCCTGCATCTAAGATTTTGTCATTTCAGCCTCTTGGTTTAGTAGCTTTGCAATAAGTGCCTTGATTGGATGAAAAAACCCTGTCTGTGATTGGCTGGTGAGATGGTTCATTTCCATCTAATTTTGGGTTGTGAGATCAGAGACAGCGCTGCGATCGAGCAGATGCAAAGTTGAGAGGAGGGAGGGAAGGAGTTGAGCACAATCAGGAAGAGAGTTGAGCAAGCAGGGAGGGAACTGAGTGAGCATGTGTGGGATTTGAATGCACACGGTTCAAATTATTGTTTGTTCATATTGATATCTGCTCTCAAATCAGTGTTACTGCGTGAGGCACAAGTACATTGCCATAGAACACCATGTGTTCACGAGCACAGCGCAGCTCCGACTGGCCCCTAACCAGCCTGTAAAAAGCTTGCTAAAAATCAATATTTTTTAACAAGCTGGTTAGGGATGTTTTCACTGAGCCATATTGTTACACATCCTTTCATATGTACGACATTCAAATTTTGTGCATCTAGCATTTTCCTTTCTCAAGTTATGACTAAAATTAATCTAAAAAAATAAAATACGTTATTTCCTGCCCGACTCGACCAAGCTACTCCCCGCTGCCTCCAGCCTCAAACCCCACCGTCAATCCGACCAATCACCTCGGGCCATCTCCGCCCACATCAAGACCTCCGCCAATCACAAGTAGGGCCATCTCCGCCCATATTAAGACCTCGGCCAATAACGATTTGGGCCGTCTCCGCCCACAGGACAACATGTTCTGCAGAGACCCCTACTTGTAGATCTTTCCCTCACGCCTGATTTCTCTTATAATTAGCTCAGCTGTTTCCACTTCCACTCATCCCCATCTCTGTATTTAGTCAGTCTGTTTTCTTCACTCAGCTTTGTCCTGGCTTCCCTGCGTTCTACAGGTTTTGTTTCTTGTTTTGTCACCCAGCTGGCCTTTAATTTAAATAAATCTTTTATTTTACTTGAGCCGTTTTGCCTGCATTTGGGTCTGTTCCTGCCTACCAGACCAGACACCACCACCACGGTTAAAAAAAATCCAAGGGGAAACCCTGGATCCCTGTTCTAATTTAATCCTCACAACTATATAATGCTGTTTCTAATTTCACACAAACCTTTGTATTTTTAAGTCCTTGTGGGGACCTTCACCTGTGGATGTATCAGAGTTAACCCAGTGCAGCAGCAAGTTTCCCGTAAGTACTGGTGTGGTTCGACGGCAGGAGCTGTCACTAAATTTAGGTTCAGTCCGGTCCAAAAACAAAGTCTTCAGTTTGATGCAAGTACAAGGATTTGTGCGTGCGTGGGCATGTTTTTGGCTACATCATGGGAACCATTTTCCAGAAAAAGGCAGCCTCATGGGCACCGTATGTGCATCTTGGGGACAAATTACCGGTTTCCACTGCTACGGATGTTAATTTCGGGTGAGGAGTTCGGTTTATGACCAAGGTACGAATTGAGTTTAGGTTAGTTTTAGGATCAAGTAACTACCTGTGAGGTTAATTTTAGGGTAATTGCTCAGGTTTAGGCTATAAAATACCCCAGAAAATAAACAGAAGCCAATCCATGGTTCCCACAGGAATTTAAAAACATACCTGTGTGTGTGCGTGCATGTGTGTTTGTGTATTTGGCCCGATCTAAACTCTACTTGACACAGCAACTTTGTAGTTTGTTTAAAAAATGTTAAGGATCTCTAGGTAAGTTAATTCAGTTTTTTTATGACTGATAAGCAGACATCCATGGCCCCAGCTTTGCTATTGCTAGTCCAACTCCTGAATCTCTCAGGAGCGTGTCTCTGACGAGATGCTTTTACATTTGAACACTGGGCGCTGTAACGTCACACAACACAAGCAATGTCACATAGTACATTCTGAACAAATAGCAAAATTCAAATGYAGGAGTAGTAGTAGTAATTAAATCCAAAGAGAGCAGCACAAACACATTTTTTAGACAAAAATGTTAAATTTGAGTCAAATAGAAAGGTATTACATTTAGGGCACAATTTAGACACTTTATCTGCAAAAAAATGTTCATTTGGGGATAAATTACTCTTGAAATGCCCTCTGCATCATAGTTTTTTTTTTCTGCATTCTGGATTTTCTAAGTAACCTGTGTAAAACATAAATGTGATTGTGTTAAATCTCAGTCAAACAGCTGTTTACTGTCAGCAACTACTTTGGTCCTAAATTAGCCTCAAACCCTTATTCCACTTGAGCTCCACAAATGGAAATCTAAATCTTATTCTTAGTTTGACACAAGTTTTGATGATTTGTATCACTATATGTGATGAGCTTGTAATTTGTTTGATATAGCCATAAAATAGTACTGATTTTCTACATAAAATACTGTTACATACCATCTGGCATGGTGACCTGCTGCTGTGTGCCTCCCCCTGCAGCGATAGAGTCTGGCCAGAAGCGCTGCAGCGGTCTATTTTGTGGTGTTTTCTTCTTGGTTTTGGGAGTCTCAGAAGAGCTGGCGTCCAACATTGGCTGCAAGATTCGTCTCCGTGCATTTATAAACCTAAAAAAAACAACACTTTTTTATTTCTTTTTTTTCTACTCCTGGCAAAAACTTATAAYAAACCTTACCATAGTCTGTGCAGACAGACTGCAAAGAAACATGCATAATCTCTGAGAAATACAACAAGCTTTGAGGTTTCCCCTTACAACCTAAGGTAAAAATTCTTCAGACACTAACAGATGGACACAGACAGGACAATGCCTAGCCAAAAAAGAAGTGGCCACCAAAAAAAAAAAAAGGTGAAACACTCTTTTATAGTTTGTTGGACTGCCTTTAGCTTTGATCATGGCACGCATTTGCTATGGCATTGTTTAGATAAGCTTCTTCAATGTCATAAGATTTCATGGGGATCCTCGCATTGTCATCTTGGAATATGCCCATGCMATCAGGGAAGAAGAAAACAACTGTTGATGGAATAACCTGGTCATTCAGTATATTCAGGTAGTCGGCCGACCTCATTCTTTGAGCACATACTGTTGCTGAAACTAGACCTGACCAACTGCAGCAACCACAGATCATAGCACTTAATTAAAATAATAACAATAATAAAAATAAAATAAATTTAAAAAAAAGAAAGGGGTAACTTTGTTTTGGCCAGGCAGTGTACATCTCCTCAAGTTAAAGTGCTTAATGCCCCCCTTCCTTAATACTTTCAAACCCATCTTAGTCTGTTTTACAAACACAATTTCAAGAAAAAAGCTCTGCAGTAAGCAGGATGGCAATGACATTATGTGATTTTTAAAAACGTTTTCATTTGGTAACATTTATTTGTTTCAATACAAAACAAATGTCATAACCTACATCTGAAAATGAGGCAAAGTTGTGTTTTTTTTGTCCAAAACTGCCTTAAGTATTTATTTGGTACCTCCGCCAAGGGAGGAGGTAATGTTTTCTGTCTGTCTGTCTGTCTGTCTGTCGACAAAATTAATCAAAAACTTTTGGATGGATTGTTATGTAATTTTTAACACATGTGGGTATTGGCCAAAGGAACACACCATTAAATTTTGGTGATGTTCCGAATCACGATGCAGACACAGGAATCTTTCTTTTAATTCGAGCGAATCAGTCAGGCTACGCAAAGTGTCATTATGTCAGACGCACGCCTGTAGGAAAGAGGAAGTACAAGTCGCAAAATCGCTGGGACTACACCTCCCAGGATGTCTACTATCGGGAAAGTTGTGATTATTCTGTTATCAACTAGTATTAGTGATGTTACATGCTGTCTGGAGACGTAGAAAAAGAAAAAGAAAWGCAATTCTCTTCACGTTACTGGAATAAYAGAAGACACCGACATCGGGGGGAGGGTCCTGCTGCAGCTGAGYCGAAGCTGGTACYGGACAGCGGGAAMAGCTGATCAAMCATGTGAGGTACCCCCTCCACATAAAAACTTTATTGTGTGATTAGTCAGAAGTTTGTGGGAGTGTTTGTTTGTGCTGAAAGCACTCAGACGCTGTATTTTACTTCAACCACTCACTTCCAAAAAATAAAAAAAAGGTGAGTCGCTTCCAGAGCGACTGTACCAGGAAGCAGCAGTTTATAAAGATAGTCAAACAGTAAAAGGGGATAAAACAGGCGTTTTACATGGTGGACTCTGACTGATAAAAACTTAGGAACTTAATCCAGGACAAGTTTGTGGATGAATGACATYGGATGACGAGTTTCTGACTTATTTTTTTGCATTGGACTCCATCGGGAAGAAATCCCGTGCATAGTGCCTGCTTAAATGTTCACTACGTCAGAACTTATTCARCAAATGTGTTTCCATTTCTCCTTTTGCACATTAACTATTGCAGGATAGGGGAAGTTGGCCTTGGCGGAGGTTTGCACTCTCCGAGTGCTTCTAGTTTCAAAGTGTCCTGATGCATCTCACTAATCCAGGTAGAAAAAAATCAAAAAGAAAAAAATAAGTAGGTCCTCTGGATGGGTTTTTCTTTAGTGGAACGTTTTGTCTCTCCTCCAAAAGACTTCTTCTTTGTCCACCATGTGGAGGCAGTGTTTATAAGGCTAAGTTCACCTGAAACTCATCAGACTGAAGAAGTCTCTTGGAGGAGAGACAAAACGTTTCACTAAAGCGGAACCCATCCAGAGGACCTACTTATTTTTTTTCTTTTTGACTAGTTTCAAAGTGTTTTTGTTTTAAGTCTGCAATTATTAGCATTCATGAAAAAAAGAAAAAAAATCTTCATATTCCTGACTAAATAAACCTGGATTTAGCCTGGCCCTTGCCTTCCTACGCAGTTCCGCTCAATTCTAGTTCCCAATCACTTCTCCGTCTAAGATTTCTCCCACAGAGAAGGATTTCTTCGGGAGCATTTCCTTTGGGCCAATCAGAGAACAGAACGATGATTTTCTGCACAGTGTCTGCTTGTAGTTTATTTCACCTGGGCCAATCAGAGAACAGAAAGTGTAGTTTTCAACAACGTCGATTTTCTGCGCAGTGTTTGCTAGTTAGTTTAGCAATGGTRGTGGAGGAATTGAATGAAGCCAGTCTGTGTTGATAAGGCTTTCAAATTAAATTAAAATTGTCTGACAAAACAGCAGCTCTCATTTACAGTCGTCTCGTTCGGCTCAGTACTTTTCTCCTCTCAGTAAGGCTGTTAACAGCGCACGCGGTTTCCGGTTAGCTTCTTAGCTTAGCCTCCTTCACAACAACATATGTCGCGGCCAACCAATCCAATCATTTTAAACTTCAGCAGAGGCCACAACTCCAGCAAGAATCGCTTCTCTATAGCCGAGAGTCCAGACCCTCGTAAGAAGCAAAGTTAAGGACAAGGGTCTGGTTTTTACCAGGCTAACCTGGATTAAAAGAAAAAGATTATGTAAGAGAAACCAACCAGTTGTTGACTTGCAGAAGGGTCAGGTTTGTCTGTGTTGCAATCTGTTTCTTCTCATCCTCTGTTGGGTAAGGATGCTGCATTAAAGAAGAGAAKGTGTATGAATAATATTTAAAGGGTTCCAATGTTACACACACACATTCACACACACACAGAGTCTGGTTTGTGTATCCCTGTGGGGACCGTGTATTCACTTCCATTATTTTTTGGAAATTTAATATTACTTTTATATAAAATTTTATATAAATTTTATATTTTACCCTTGTCATTTACCCTAAAATTAACCTCACAGGTACCTACCTGACCCTAAAACTAACCTAAACTCAATTCACACCATGGTCCTAAACATTATCCCCCACCCGTAATTTGCAWTTGGACCCATGGGGACCGGGCATTGGTCCCCACAATGCACGTTCGGTCCCCATGAGGCTGCGTTTTTGAGAAAACTATCCCAACAATGTAGGAAAAATAATGCCCCCCCCCACCACACACACACACACACACACACACAGAGGAGATGCATATACACTTACCCCAATATGCTGGAAGAGCCAAGAGCGCATGACATTGGTGGCATGTTTGGGTAGAACGCCACGTTTGTTCTTTGTTGAGTTGTCATCATGATTGAAAAGATTCAGGTCCTGGTGAAACTGAAGCTGAAGCTAGGTGCACATGTAAATTTTATGAATCAGAACCAATAAAGTACCAAATCTGACAAAGAAAATATTACTTTTATTTTGAAGACTAGAGGAGACAAACTTCAATCAGAACGACCACTGAAAGGATTTTCCACCAAACTGGTTCAAGTGCTAAACTGGTTTCAGAGCTGCTTGTTACCACCTTGAACACAGCACTGAGAAGGTTCTTGAAATGAGTTTCATCAGGAGGAGCAATCAGGTTTACATAAACCAACAACCAGTGAAAATGATGTGCTAGTTTCACTTTTATACAGAATAGGTTATAAGAGATTAATTAACTCTAAGTTTAAATTATTACAAAGTTCAATTAACAGCCAGGGCTCATGATGCAATTCTTTTAATTGCCAGTGGTTTAGTGAAGGTGGATAAATGAACTGCAGAGCTCTTAACTCTGTTTTTAAACACTGTTTGAAATTCATTTATAAACTGAATCCTGCTTTTGTAAATCTGGGTTCACACTGTGCAGTTTTTGGTCAATGCACATAGAAAYCTTTGTTATGACACAATCATAAGAAAAATCTTTGCTTTGAGCCTAAAATGTTCTGAGTAGGGCTGGGCAGTATGACCTCAAATTCATATCATGGTATAAATTGAATCCCTTCACGGTAACGGTATATATCGCGGTAGAAAATTATTATAAAAGCAAAGATAATGTCATTTTTTTTGCAAAAATTTGTAATCAAAATCAAACCTAGCATTTTTGCTGTAGTGCAAATRAACATAACAGAAGTACAAAGAATGTTCTATATTACAAAACGGTTTCAACAACAAACAAAAACATTTCTTAATTTTTTAACAATATCACAATACAGTGGATGTTATAACTAGTACTTCAAGTAAAATTAGTAAATTAGACATAAACAAATTCTAAGTTGGCATAACTTCCCTAAAATGTTATAGTGTAACAGGGCCTTAAAGGCACAGCATGTAGGATTTGCTGTTTTCAGCGACATCTAGTGGTTGAGTGGTTGAATCATCCTCCCTGATCCTCCC